CAGTTTGAGCCGGCAAACTGTAAACTGGCTGACTGAACTCCCTCGGCGTGTTTATCTCTCTATTTTGCCAATTTCTACTATTTTGCAGCCGCGCCCTCAAGCCTGGTAGAGGCTAGAATAGTCCCACATTCTGAATAATTAGTGGGTTTTGTGATCTTAGTAAAAACGTAGTCTTTTGGTGGTCTTCTAAATAACGAAAGGATGGAAAAATTGTGGTAACTGTCTGAAACAATTTGGTTCTGCTGGTCTATTATTATTATTAAATTATTAATACTTACTAAACTTAGGATTGTGTACCAGCAAAATGTGTTCCCAAAATACAGGAAATGGCATTTCCAGAGGGTCAAGATTTTAAAATTTTTCCGGGGAGCATGCCCCGATCTCCCTTGTGTATTGAGATATTAAAATAGCACGTGGAAGAAGTTTGTGGATGCCATGCACTCGAATATCGGGAGAAAACTTAGCTACAGAGTACTCAAAATTTACCTTCGTGTAGCAGCAAAATCTTCCCCCCAAAATGCAGGAAAACGCGTTTCAGAGGGTTAAAATTTCAAAATTTCCGCCTTCGGCGCTCGATTTCTGGAAAATTGTTCCATACAAATCTCGCCCTCCCAATCAAAATTTCCTGCCGCCGCCTCTGTGATGACCAATCAACACGGAATATTCAAGCCACTCTAAACGCTCTGAATAACAAACAACATTCCCAAAGCTTGGTATATTACAATACTTTGTGCGTCAAATAGTAATTGCACTTACTTTTTTTATAATGCCTAGGTTAACCGGCCAATTGTACATTATCCCCATCATCAGCACATCTAACACGATGTTCCTGAGGTTTACATCTCATAGGAGTGTCAGCGCTCAGGGGTTCCAGTTCTCCTACACAAGTAAGATCTTTGGCTACACTTCTCAAATTAACAAGGTCAATGATATCATTCTGTATGCTGGTTAATATGAACTGTGTTTGTGACAATTTTCGGTATATGATTAGTTTCTGGGGTCCAGAAGATGTGAAAAGTTGCAAATTATGTAAATGACGCTTAATTGGCATGGTTCATGTGGAAATTTGAAAATCACATTGGTATACACTATAGGACCTTTAGTCTTTAATCTATGTAATGTATGGGAAGTGGAACATTAATAGATAAAAATTATGCAAATGTACACATGATTGTAGATCTATAACAAGGGAAATCGTAGATTTCAAACCTCCGGGTTTTCTTGTGTTCTACAGGTTTAGGTTATTTGTTTGTGTGTAGTATGAAAGTTATGTGCGTAATATGTTTGTATGTGTTTGATGGCTACTGACGGTTGGTTCGGTATGGACTGTTGATTAACGTGTCTGACAGCCTGCACCGTCACCCGCGCCATTACCCCCGCCGTCATCCCGCGCCGTCATTGCTGCGCCATCACCCAAAATTTTTATCGGAACCAGACACCTCTCTGTTTGACCCCTTTTTGAATGCTAAGACCCAAAACTGCACTCGCCCCAATCCTTAACAACATGGAAATTACCATTTTCAGCACGGCGGGGGTGTCCGGACCACTTAAACACCTTTTATTTCGACGCCCATAAACACATATGCAATTAAACAAAAACGTTCTGCGTCATCTGCAGCCCAATAGCAATACGTACAACGAACCCCAGACAAATCCGTCATGCCGATCGCGAGAAACAGCTGCTGACAGAAATTGTTCAAACGATAGTAAAACCTTCTCGCGGAAGGATATCTCCTTCCCCGGAGGTAATAAATGACAAAGGAAGGAAATCCAATTTGAAGCCTTTACATTGTTTTGTTCCAGGCAGTACTGCAGGTCAATGCTGGGATCCCGGTGTGCCGGCCAATGGGAACAGGGATAACAACAGTAACTTTACATCAGGACAGACAGTCAGGTACACCTGTATGGACGGGTATCAGCTGTGGGGGACTGCTAATATAACCTGCCAGCCGAACGGAACTTGGAGTGGTGCTACACCAACTTGTGCAGGTAATGAATAAAGAACTAGAGTTCCGCGATCTCATACCTTCGCCAAATGATGTTAATCTTTATGGCTGACAAATATATAGATTGTTCCCCCTGATTGTGCAAATAGGATCCTCATTTCTATTAGTGTATTAGTGTTCATCATATTCTCAACCAAAAGTCTTACATTAACAAAGTGTCATTCTACCATTTCTTCATAAATTATGCAAATAAGGTCCTGATAATTCATTATGTTTAATGATGTTTACCTTCACTGAACTTTCACATACCACAACTATGAAATTCCACGTAGTTATTACAGTATTATAATATTTTCTTATTAATTATGCAAATTAAGTCCTCATTTACATATTCAATATCTGCCTTTGTTTCTCTCCTTCTCAATTACAAATGTCACAAGCTTCGATAGTCCTATCATGGAATGCAGCTGATTTAAAGAATCTCCCCATAAAATATGCAAATCACATCCATAATTGCATAATTGTCACAATTATCATCGCGTAAGCTACCTACATACCTAAAATCATGAGGATCCGTCAACCGGTTCTTGAGTTATCCTCTTTTGAATATCTTAAAAACAGATAGCGCTGCAGATCCAGAGCTAGCCGCTAGGGGACCCAAACTCACGTCACTTCTTCCCCAGCACAAGAGCTACCTATCATCTAAATATCGTCACCCTAGCATGTCTAGATCATGAGATATCAAAATCGGAATTTCAGCTACAGTACCATAACAAGCCGCCAGGGGGCCCAAAATCTAATCAGTTCGAGCTCTCATCAAGACCTACCCACCTACCAAATATCATGATGATCCATCTAAGCTTTCTCGAGTTATGCTGTTGACAGACACACGCACACGCACACACACACACACACAAACACACACACTCAGACATACACACGGCCAGGAAAACATAACCTTCTCCAATTTTTGGCGAAGGTAATAAAACTATTATATATTGACGTTAGGGTTAGAACTTCTGATTTACGGTATACATGCGTACACATGCAACATTGATCATCATGTTCACAGTGTTTTTTAATGACTTAACACCTTGAAGTTTTAGTAGTACGGTATCCCCAGGATGACCAAAATGATTTGCCACTTGTTTCACAAAAATTATTTAGCCTTCTCTTTGCTGATGACACTAACTTATTTATATCTCATAAGAATCTTAATACTCTAATAACCACCGTAAACGAAGAACTAGATAAAGTAAATATGTGGTTCAAAACAAACAAATTATCTTTAAATGTGAAAAAAACTAATTTTATCAGATTTGCAGCTAAGAATAAGAAGTACCCGAAGGAAAATGTTAAGATATTAATGAACAACATCCGTATTACCCAAGTGACCCATACTCGCTTCTTAGGTGTCCTGATTGATAGCAAATTAACTTGGAAGAATCATATTGATCATGTAAGTAAAAAGATTTATAAGAATATTGGGATAGTACGGAGAATAAGTAATTTCTTATGCCATAAAATGTTTATTACCCTATATTACAGTCTTGTTCATCCCTCACGGTGGTAAAATCTGGGTTGCAAAGTTCCCACATGCCATAGAACCCGAACTGTGTTCGATCGTGTTCGATCTGGGCAATTCGAATCGAACCCGCGTTCTATTTCGGGGTCACCTGCGGTCATTTACAATAAAGCGGCAAAACAAGCCTTTCTGCCTCCGTGCCGTGCATCAGATAAAAAACAACACTCTTTTATAGATACAAACAGTTTCCTGGACAGTACATGTCCGCTATCATTTTTTTGTGGACATGTAACATGTAGCGAAGCTACTGTCGTATCCTTGGGTGACCTTGAATACTGTAATGATTCTTTACGCCAGTATGAATAACACAATGCAGACTTTTGGTCGACATGACATGTCTGCAAAACTCGTTTTAACCTGCAAGCATGGAAAGTCAAGCATACCCCATTCACGGCTCAAAATGACCGTTACGGTTGTCCCGAAAATCGTGTTTTAGGGATTTTCTAAAAATGGCCTCAATTTTGAATTATGGGTAATTTAGTGCGAAAAATGTAAAGAAAAATCATTTTTTCACCAATATGTCGACAAAAACTAGACTTAAAGTCAGAAATTAAAAAATCCCTAAAACACGATTTTTGATCTTATTCCTAGTCGTCGAAAAATATAAAAATCGGGGATCTGGGGTGATATACGTAGCCAGGTTAAAACGCTGTTTGCCTAAAAACATGACATGACTTGTGGTCGGAAATCCGAAAAAAAAATCGTCTTTCGGAGCGAAATTTTGAAAAATCAATGATTTAACATAAACAGCTAATATTGAAAGGATGTTAAGGCAATAATTTCATTTTAATTTGACAAAATTTACCATTAAATCCTTTTTGTTTATTTTCAAGTGTTTTACTGGTAGGCCAAACTCGGCCCAAATAGCGTCTTGTAATCCGATACCTTTTAGAACGCGCCTAGCAATGGGAAAGAATACCGTAGAGACAGACCGCCGTGCCTATTTGACCTACTGCAACATTGTATGGGCATCTGCGTACTCCACATCACTCAAACCTCTCTTTCTCCTTCAAAAACGGTACATTAGAATGACATTAAGCTTCCTTCACTACCCCTAGTGCCCCCTTATTTAAAAAGTTACAAATACTGACTATTTATGATATAAACCGACTTCAAACCTGCTTGCTAATGTTTAAAATAATAACTAAATGTCCCTGTCTTCCTGAAACCTATTACAACACCTTCAGATTGAACTCAGATATCCATAGCTACAACACAAGACAAAGCAATTATATAAGGCCTATTACTGCAAAAACTAATCAGCGGCAATTCTCATTCATGTACAGGGGACCTACAGTCTGGAATAACCTAAACAAAACATTAAAGCTATGTCCATCTTTAAATATTTTCAAATCCCACGTCAAAGCTGATTTCATTAAAGACTCCGCACTTTCCTAGGTCTGGTTACATTAACACTCAAATCATCTTTTTACATACTACGTTGTTTCAAGTTCTTACTGATTGATTTGCTAATTTGCTATATTTTCATTTGTTTGTAGCCAAACACATTGGTTTTGTTTGGTTCATGCATTGTTTGTTTGGTTCATGCATTGTTTGTTTACTTATGTTAAACCTGATCATTTTGTTTATATGACTGTTTTTGCTTATTTCTTTAATTGATTCATTATTTTGTTTCATTGATGTAAGAATATAATGTTAGTTCACATGGGGGGAGTTCTCATACAAGCCTGTGGCTTTTCCTCTACCCCTGCATGTTTATTTCTTTCTGTTATACTTATGTTTTGCAAATTTTGCTTTTACTTTGTATGTGCACACGAATAAATAAATAAATAAATAAATCTAACACATTAATTTAAAAAAAATCAACTACATATAAGAAATACACTCAACTACCCGGAGGTATAAAATCTCAGATTTTCCTTCTTTATCACATTTATTTAGTACGTATTTTTATTTTAAGGGATGAATGTGATAACTTGAAAAGTTGTGATAAGCAGTTTTTGAAATGTTGTGTCATTTTTTTTTTACCACATACAATTTCTATATGGAAAAAATGAGATAACATGTTCTTATTCAATTTTTTTTCCATATAAGAATTCCTACAAACTCTATTTGAAAAAAAAAATGAGATAACAAGAACACTAGACACCTTACTATGATTTAATTGTTATTAACGGGTTGTGTATTTCACAATTTATCAATTCAAATGTTGGATTGAAATTTGTTCTGATCATGTCGCGTGTCCTATTAATCAACATTAGCGGTGAAAATGAAATGTTATCTCAGACGTTTCAATGCTTCATGAATAATTGAAGACCTATATTGTAGAGGATGACTGTGATGTGGTTTTACCAAACAGGGACTCACACTCTGAGGATCAGGACGAGTGACGTTAAGGATTCCCAGAGTAACAACGCTTTAACTGTGGAACTCCTGTCTGACACGTGTGATGGTGTCTGTACAACAACGACGGTTTCCGGACTCAATGCAAAGGGGTGAGTACCATTATAATCTGTACACTTTATCCCAGTCTAGCTGTGATGTGGCTTTTCCGGCAAAAAATATAAGATCTGCATGCCCGTAGCCAGGATTTAGAATGTCCCATTGTCTGGGGGACCAGCGAGCGCTGTTGGTGCGAGGCAAGCGCTGAAGGCACAAGGTTTCTCAAATTTTGAAAATCGAACCTTCTGAAATGGCATGTCCTGTGTTTTGAGAGGATTTCAAAGGAAAAATCAGACATAACTTTTCAATAGCCAAGTGAGCAGCATTTCTACGATTCCAGCCCAGCTGGTGATACGAATCAGTTCATCTGTTATAGAAAATATTGGACCTTTGAGCCTTCGGGAGGGGGGGGGGGGTCCTCCGAACCGCAAGTGGTTTTAAAACACTGATCAGAAATACTATAACAGTAAATTATAAGATTGACATTAATTGAAGTTCAATTCGGCAACAACTGTATTCATCATACAACAACAATATTCTGATGAACCCCCAAATACCCTCCGGATGTATCTTTTATTCCATATTCTTTATATTTTGAAGGACCGTGTTCGTGCGAAGCTTTTCCGCTCCAAATTTCGGTGACCCCACGAGGCTTCGACTCACAGCCCATGGGCAGGACTGGTTGGAACTAGACTGGGTAAGTCTTTATCGTTTTCGCCTTTTGTGTGTATGTGGAAAGCAGAACTCACGATCGTGGGTAAATATTTTGATATGTGACTTGTCAACCCATAATTGCTGTTGATCTCCGAGTGAGAAGTTCATCTCCACTGGAAGTGTTTTTGTGTGCTTGTTACCTTCGCAAAGGAGGATCGTGATGACTTTATAGTAGGTAACTGCCGCAATCAAATGCTAGTTAAGCAGATCAGCAGCTAATTTGCGTAAGTCCAAGCCTAAAGGCGTTACGCAAAGACAACCACTGAAAGGTCTAGCGGTGAGTCGTGATGCTGCTTGATGATAAAAGGAGGAATACTGTTTGTTAATAGGAGATCTGTCACACTGTCACTGTGCACCTCATCGGGCATGAGTTGGGTATTGACCGTTCTTTCGTACACAGCCGTGCGCACAAGATGCGTGATTTCTTGAATTGTTTCGACGCACACCTTGCTTGTAAATGACGAATTCGCCACATCAGTTTCATTACTACCCTGGGTGCCAGAACTCGTTTTTAGGCGGCAAGAGCCCTGAGCCCGCCGGTCTAAATTATCGCTACGGGGGAGTCTAGCCCTGGTATAGCCCAGGGGGAGTTTGGCCGCCTTCCAAACGAGTCTAGTTCTAGGGCCGGACAAACCCCCCGGGCTCAACTCCCCCGTAGGGGTAATTTAGATAGGCGGGCGAAGGGCTCTTGGCTGCCGAAGGAAAACGGCTAACGGCCCGATACTAGTCTTGGCATCCAGGGTATTTCATTACTCGTTTGCTGCTCAAGCTCCATCACATCTGGCGAGGACCAGGCCGGTGTCACAGCGATGACATAAGACCCAGGGGAAGGGCATGTGCGGAGTTTTGGAGAGGGAAACTGTAACAGTAAACGGTGACAGAAGAAGAAGAAATCTCTAGATCTTGGCCCCACTCTGGAGATTTCGCCACCACCAAAAAACAAGGGGTTTCGCGAGATCGCTAGCGGTTTGGTCTCCCGATTGGCGAAATCGCTGCGCTGGATATTTATAGTCTTCCCGCGAGAAATACGCTAGGGATTTTGCATACAATAGTGTAGATCTCTGTCTAAGCTACCCACATACCAAAAATCATAAAAATACATTGTTCCTCACTGTGAATTTATCTGCTCTGAAAGGGTTCGCCAGCAACCTTCCTGCAGTTCCAGAACAACTGCTAGAGGGACCAAACCCACACTACTTATTACTGACTGGAAAAGCTATCTGCTTCTCAAAAATCAAGACCGTATCGTGTTCAGAACAAAAGATACAAAAACCGTTATGCTGCAGTATGCTGCAGTTATGCTGCAGTACCAAGGTCAGCCACCAGGTCATCTGACACTTAGACTTACTAAGATACCTGCGCTCCTCCAAACTTGAGAGCATTACTTTATAATGGCTCTATACGGACACTACAGGACACTACAGCTCATTTGGCATATAACAACAAAACTCGTTGTATTCTCCAATGATTTGTTTCAAGTGTGAAATGACGTTATAGAACTAAAAGGGTACAAATTCAGAACAAAAGGGGGAACTATATATTATATAAGGGCACAAATTCATACCACTGGGAAAGTGTTTTGGGTATTTGTCGGCCGCTGTTTAATGTCTTTAATGATGTAATCAAATCAGGTATTACACCACTTCCAAAATTACCCACTTGGATTCATCAGGCGAAACTTCTATGCATCAAGCGACTGTCAAAATCACCTCTCACCTAATCTCCAAGCAGATCGGGTGTCCAATGGATACTGTATGCCAGTAAATGCCTGACCAATTAGATACTGTCTTTGTGGCCACCGATATTCTAGGAGATTACCCTCACCTATCATGCAATGGGAGGTATTTCGGTCTGTTTATAATGTTTCAAGATCCGTACTTCACACAGATCTCCCATCTTGAACCGAGACACAAAGTTCCCCGCTCGTCCTGGTTTACCACGTTCCCAGAGATCTCCCCTGGCGTTCAACTGGTCCTTCCGACAACTCTGAATGTTAGGTCCGTACGTGGGATACCAGGGATTGGTCGTACACACCAGATCTCGATGCCAACACTTCATTTCCAGTCCCTGAAGCTCAAGGGCAGAAGTTAACTCAAATGTCACTGATACCAGGATGCCGGCCCTCCCCGGAACCGTAACGGGCCCTACCATTAGGTGCTAGTACGTGGACGGGAGGGGGGTTGTAAACTAACCTGCGTAACGTATAATTACCTTCGCCAAGAAGGTTATGTTTTCAGTAGCGTTTGTCCGTCTGTCTGTCTGTTTGTCTGTGAACAGCATAACTCAAGAAGCTTAGTATGCATTGTCATGAAACTTGGTTGGTGGGTAGGTCTTGATAAGACCTAGAAATGATTAGATTTTGGGCCCCCTGGCGGCTTTTGTTGGTACTGCAGCAGAACTTCCGGTTTTGATATCTCGCAATCTGGACATGTCAGGGTCACGAATTTTGGTTGGTAGATAGCTCTTGAGGTAGGGAAGAAGTGACATAAGTTTGGCTCCCCTAGCGCCTTGTTCTGGAACTGCAGGAGCATTTGTTGAAAAATTTTCGAAGGATGATAACTCAAGAACCGGTGGACGGATTGTCATGATTTTTGGTATGTAGGTAGCTGAAGTGATGCTTGACACAATCAAATGATAATTATGCAAATCAGGAGCTAATTTGCATAATTAATGAGTAAATTCTATAAATCTGCTTCGTTCGATAATAGGACTATGAAGCACGTGTGACATGTAATAGAGAACGAAAAAAACATCTGAGGATATAGATTATGTAAATGAAGACCTAATTTGCATAATTAATGGGAATATTTTATAATTTCATAGTTGTAACTTCTGGGAATTTCATACTTGCCACATTTGGAAGTTAAGTGAAGGCGAACATCAATAAACATAATTTATTCAAATGATGACCTCATTTGCATAATTTATGAGAAAGTGCTATAATAGCCTTTTTGTGAAGATAAGGTTGTCATTGGGTGGAAAATATGATCAACTGATATAATCCATGCTAATGAGGCTCTTATTTTCAAAATCAATGATTAAAATTGTATGATTCTTCTACCGCAAGGGTTAACATCATTTGGCGAAGGTATGAGATCGTGGAACTCTTGTTTCTTTCTATGTTAGGTTATCATGCCTTTTTGAACATGAATTTTCTAACCTTATCCAATGAGCCGTAGCCTGACTGAACCTCGCTTTTCGCCGACTCCCTAGTTAGGCGGACTATGTAGGGAGCCCCCCGGAGCTTGGGTTTCACATGCTACATTGAGCCGGAAAAGTAAACTTTGCTGCTTTGGCTTTGTGTTTTGCCGCAAGGAAGAGGCGATCTCACTAACAAAAGAGGAACAGGAAAAGGAAGCAGGAAGCGACTTCCTCAAAATAATAAGTGGCTTGAAAAAGGAAGAATCGACCTGGTGTCAGAACCATTGCTACACAAAGTGAGGATGATACTACTTGCCGCGGTCTGTGCTGTATTTCTGCTGTCTGGCCTCCAGGTCCATCATAACCTTCTAGTTGTGGGCGAACCTGTCACGGAAGTACCGGAGGATGCGACAGTTGGCAGCACGGTGGTGCGACTGAGAGATTCTCCTGTTGCCAGCCGGGTTCTTTCTGCAGATGGTGCGTTTTGGTCAGTCAACATCACCGCGGAAATTGGGACAGACTGGTCAGTTTTCTGCGATCACAATGGCAACGTGATTGACTGGGCAATCGCCGACGTACGCGTCTTTGGACTGGCCACTAGTGATCAATACCAGTGCAGTAAGTACCCAGACCAGCATCTGTTGCATTCATGGAAAACATTATGGTATTGTTTTGGAAGTACTGTTTGGGTCTGTTTGTGTGTGTTTGTGGCCGGTATAACTTACAATCTGCCTGTGGATAGACTGTAATTGGGGAGATAAAGGTCAAGGTCACTTATGGGCCTACTAGCGGCTTTCCTGGCTGATGCAGCAGAATCTTGTTTTTAAAATCTGTGACCTAGCTAGACAAGTTATCGTATTTTATTTATTTTCGTTTCGGCATAAGGATTTTCATTTTTGGAAAAAGTCGAATTCTTTTGTTTCAGACGTCAAATTAGGTAGAAAGCTCCTGTTATGCAGAACAGGAGCTTAAGGAACATTGCAGAGAACATTGCAGACCTAGTGCTAACGGCTACTCCTCTGCCATTTTCCACCACCTACAACACAACCAGGGCCACTCCTTCAAACTCGAGTCCACAGATATCTTAGACCGCGAAACACGCTGGTGGGAACGGGGTGTCAAAGAGGCAATATATGAAAGAATGTACAACCCCACCCTCAACAGGGAAGGGGGGCTACGGGTAGATCTCTCCGGCACT